TTATAGCAGTTTATTCCTCTAGAATTCAGTAAATACAAGTTCTTTAAAAACAAGGTATTTGACATAAGGACTTGTTTTATTTTATCCCACTTTCTCTTACAGCCTGGAAGTGACTGATTTATTGCTTACTGCTTTGGAAAATCCAGTAAAAAATGTTGAGGACAATTGGGAACAGAAGGTAAGTCTGCCAGTGGATTTAGTATGAATGCAAAGGAACGACTTTTCCTGGGAAGATCTTTCTGAGCTGAGTGGTGTTAAACCATCAGTGAAATGTGAACACTGCTTTGTTGCTGGCTTGGTGTCTTAGTTATCTAATCTAGTGCTGCTTTAACAGAAATGCCATAGGTGGATGGCTGTAACAAAGAGAAATTTATTCTGTCACAGTGTATGAGGCTAGAAGTCCAAATTCAAGGTGCCTGCTCCAAGGGAAGGCTCTCTGTCAGCTCTGGGGGAAGGTCCTTGTTACCAATATTCCTCTGGTCTAGGAGCTTCTCAGCACAGGGACCCTGGGTTCAAAGGACACGCTCCCTTCCTGGTTGTTCATTCTTGGTGGTATGAGGTTCCCGTCTCTCTGTTAGGTTTTCTCTTTTATATCTCAAAAGAGATTGACTTAAGACATAATCTAATGTTGTAGATTGAGTCCTGCCTCATGAACACAACTGCTTCTAATCCTTCCTCATTAACATCATAGAGGTAGGATTTACAACACATAGGAAAATCACATCAGATGACTAAATGGTGGACAGTCACACAATACTGGGAATCATGGCCTAGTCAAGTTGACACACATTTTGGGGGATGCAATTCAATTTATGACAGCATCTCACCAGCATTCAGCCTCTACTTCTGCCTGGACACAGTGGTGCCCTGGTGACAGCTCATGCCATCTGGCCAGAGCGGACTGTTAAAAATTTTCAGAAATGTTGGGATACTGTTGACATTAGGTTGGTAGCTTGAAATGGGCCAGGATGGGAGTATTTACACCACAGAAATTAGCAAACACTACAAATAGGGTTTTTGTTGTTGTTTTCCCTCCAGAGCCAGTTATTAAATATTTCCCATCACACCACTGCCTAGATGGAACCCAGCTTACAATTGGTCTTATTTCATTTGGACCTTCTCCTGGGGAAGAATAACTGGGATGGAAGAGCCATTGTAACTTTTCTTTTAGTCCCTTCAATTAAGCATCACCTATATTTTAGCCATTTCTTTTACAAAACTGTATAATGTCCAGTAACAATGTCTGTATTACATAGGAAACAGACAGAATTATTTGTTCAGCTAGTACTCTTCATCAAGCTGATCAGATGCTCCGAAGAATTCTCTCTCAGACGATGAAGGAAGCAAAAGGTATGTTGGGTAGTTACGTGTTGTTTGGTTCTAATGACTCTCTACTGCTAATCTTGTTCCTTTGACAATAAGTAGTTTATTAGCTTTTAGTCAGAAAGTTTAAATCATAAATGTTTTCACCTTAAATATGTTGGAATCAACTTGACAGCAACCAATACCACCACCAACTCGATTGTGATTATTTATAGACTCTGACTGGTTTATCTGAAGTAATCAATTGATAGATTTCCTGGTGTCATTAGACAGCTTAGATTGATTTTACACAAGTAATTTGAGAATATCTTTTTGTTTTAGATGAACAAGTGCTTCCTTACAACTTGAAGCTTCTAGCAGAAGAACTTAACAAGCTCAAAGCAGAGTTTTTGGAAGACCTAAGGCAAGGAAGCAATAAAAAATACCTGTGCTTTCAACAAACCATTGGCATATCAGATGTCATTTCTTTTTTTCATTATGAGAAAGATAACATTGTTCAGAAGTATTTTTCAAAGCAGCATTAAAATTTCTGAATTTCCAATCACGGGTCTGATACTGGTAAAATTTTGCAAACTAATTAAAACAACAGTTTAGTATTGCTGTTTTCTAAGAACTAAGGTCATGCCCAAGCCATGGTATTTTCAATTGCCCCATATGCATGTGAAAGCTGGACAATGAATAAGGCCAAAGAACTGATGCATCTGAATTATGGTGTTGGTGAAGAATACTGAATATACCATGGACTGCCAAAAGAATGAACAAGTCTGTCTTGGAAGAAATACAGCCAGAGTGCTCCTTGGAAGTAAGGATGGCGAGACTTCGTCTTACGTACTTTGGGCATGTTACAATGAGGGGCCAGTCCCTGGAGAAGGACATCATACTTGGTAGAGGGTCAGCGAAAAATAGGAAGACCCTCAATGAGATGGACTGACACTTGCTCAAACATAGCAACAACTGTGAGGATGCTGCAGGACTGGGCAGTGTTTTGTTCTGCTGTCAGAACCAACTCAACAGCATCTAACAACAGTATGTGTTCTTGGTCAATAATGTGAACTGCCAGAGACCACTACTAAGCAGAAATCAGTACATCCTAAAAGAACAATTTGCAATTACAGAAATTAAGCACCAGAGCCAGCCTTCCTGGTTATGGCGGAACCCTCAAGGTAGGATCTTGAGTAAAGAAAGGAGATGAAGAACACAGAAGTGTATGTATGGAGGAGTTTTCAACTTATGGATAGATCTCATGGGTAAAGCATTCTAGAAATCCAAACCAGTGTAGCCATAAAACTTTATTATAAACTCAACATTTACATTCCAGAAAGTTACTAAGAAACTGATTTGATCCTAGTTTTGAAAAAAGAAAAATCGAGGTCATTAGAAAGTGTTATTTGTTTATTCATATATTACAAAAGCAAAGCTTCACAACATGAACTACATACTAGATATAGTTATCTCAGCATTAAACTCTTTCTGGAATCCCTAAACAATATAATGTATTTGTCACCATAACTCAAGTTTTGTTTTGCATACAAAATATGTTCTTTACATCAAAGTACATATTAACAAAAACAAGTTCTAGAAAGCATATACCCTCTAAGACTATTTAATGAAAACATCATTAGCAGGGAATTTTTTAATTTTTAATACATCCATTTGATAAATATTTTCATAGAACTTAAAATGAAGTTTCTCTCTGAACATTTTTTAGTAATATTCCCTTTGTCAAACAGTTCTGCAAATGAATGGCAAACACTTATTTCTAAAATGAAATAGCACTGGAACATAGCCAATGGAATTTTTTCAAAGCAAAGTTTAGCTTTCACTTGAATTTCAAGAAGTTGTAGCTACACACTACATTAGTAAAATCTGAAATAAAATTATTCCCTGTTAATCTCTTCACAGTTTCTTAAAAAAATATTAGTGGAGATAAATTATCTACCAACTTTAAAATCTAAACTTACATTCACTGAACAAAAATAAATTTAGTTTCAGAATATTGCCTGTTAACAGCAAAGTACTATAAATAGTGCATGTTAAACTTTTCTCAACAAATCGTTTCTATAAAATATTTGATTAAAAATGAGAGAAACATATTCAATATTTAAGGGGAGATACTAACATCTTTCCAGGTACAGAATTTAACTCAGAATCATTTAAATAAAATCCTAAATCTTTTAAAAAATACAATACCAAAAAGTTTTCTAAGGTAGATTTGCTTCAAAACTTTTAGTGCATTTAGAATTATAGCTTTCAAGCATTGACAGCTTTGGAATACCAATTGTGCTTTCTAAGTCATAGGAAAATTAGAATTATACATTCTAGCTTATAATTAAGAAAAAAAAATATTTTCCATGTTTAAATGAAAATGCACCTTCAAAACATTCACTTTAGTTGTCAGAAAAAAAAAAAAGTATTTGTCACTATTTGACCCAGAATACAGAGTTCATAAACTGGTTTTAATAAGAGACTTTTTCCTCTTTGTTTAATGAAAATTTTAATTTTCTATTTTGGGGTATTGCTTTTATTTGAGTAAAATAGAAGAAAAATAATTTCAAAGGCTTTCAAGTGACAGCAACCTATTTCTCTTCCTGGCAATAAATACTAGAGCCAAGTTACACATTTGGAGATTGCTGCACTAAAACTGATCTGGGCAGTGAGCGATTTAAGCAACAGAGTGAAACAGAATTGTAGATTTTACATTCACAAGCCTTAGATTTGACAAGGAAGAGAGAGTTGTTTGGAAAAACTGTCTTTGATGCTGTTCTTCAAACTGTGCAGTTGAGATGAGCTTAGATTGGATATTAAACCACAAGAACTCCTTGTAATGGCTTTCTACCAGTTGGAAGGGAGGGCAGAGGATCCATTAAGCTGGTACTTGGGGTTTTTGTGGGCATATACCATCAATATCTTCCTTTATTATAAGGATAGAGGTCCTTTTCAGTTAATAAATGCTTAATAGTTAAGATAATCTCCTTAAGAAGCCAATTAGTAGCATTTACAAGATCTGAATCACATTAAAAACAAAATTTTTGCAAAGTACACAAAAGCCAACAGTAACAATATATTTTATTGTTTGACCAAGCTATTTTTCGGAGTTAGCTAGTTATTACACAATATAAAAACAATAGCCTCCTTATTCAAAATGACTCTAGATTTCACAAGTCTTATTTCTGTAAACAAACATCAAGTTTAAATGCATTTTCTATCCATTTTCACACCACTGAATCCTTTCCTACTGTGGTGACAATTCAGCGCTGCTTCCACAGCTTCTTCACTGTAAATGCGGACTGGTGAGACTGCAAATGAGCATCACAATTTGAACTCACAGAAATTATGTAAAATGGCTAATTCTGAAAAGGACACCAGAATCCACTTTGAACACATGCTCTTTTTGTAAATATCAGTTCACATCCTATTTTTCCATGTGTTCCTCTACCCATATGTAAAGATATGTAAAGGAAAGACGGCAAGAAAAGGAAGCGTTAGAGATTTTTTTTTTTTGAAGGACTGGCTTTTTCTAGGACTAATTCAGATGGATGACACTCCATTGTACCTCTTTGGTCATCAAAGGAATAGGAGGAGTAACAGCCTCGCCTGATGATCATAACATCAGAATGAAGGATTTAAATGAAAGGGTCAAATTAAAAGAGAAAAGGCGGCATCTTCTTAGCTAATCCTCTCATTTTTCTAGTGCTGTTGTGTGTGTGTGTTTTTAAACAAACTGGACGTATGATAAAAAAAATCCAGTGGAAAGCTGGCATGTGTTTAAACTAGAAATTGAACATATTTTAAATAATAAACCCCAATTTCTTCAGTTATGGAGGAAAAAGATAGTACGTTTTCGATGTAAAGTCTTGAGTTTCATTTCTCTTCTGAATTTTCATTTCATGTTTTTGTAACTTTTGCTTTTAAAAAAATCAAATTGCTTTATATTTCCCCATGTGGAAAAAAGATTTACTACTCTGAAATACCTTCACTGTTATCAGGTGAAATGAAACTACTGCTTCAACTTAAACTATGTGAATTAAATCGTAATCCAATTTCAGAGCAAATTTAAAGGCAACTCCCCTACTACACACTGAAATAAGCTGTAACAGAATTTGTAAAGGAAAATCATGTTCTACCATTGTGAAATATGGCAGAAATAACAGCTAGCTGCAATGTATGTATTGAAATACCAAGAGTATGGATAAGCCTTGAAGTTTTTATGGACCATAAAGGTGGGAAATTTAAATGAACACCTGTAAGATTATGACTGGACTCCGATTTTCAAACGTCTAAATAATGAAAGGAAAAGTTAGACACCAATCTTTCTAGCTGCTCTAACACATAAATGACCCTGGCTGGATTTTTATGGAAAAAAAAAAGGGGGGGGGGTATTTTGTTTCCATTGTCAAATTTATATGCTATAAATATAATGCATAAACTTTAAATTAGCAGACATCTTATCAGGGATGACCTCCCCACTCCCCCCCACCCCCAAAAAAAAACAACCCTTAACAAAACACAAAATGGCAAAAACAAAGTGTGATGTGATTGTTTTCAGTGTTGGTTATGCTGCCCTCTTGCAAAATGACAGGCAAAATCATACTTGTTTTTACATTTGCATCCACATATATTACACTGAAAAGGGTTTTCGTATCCATGACATCCCATATGAATAGTGTAAAGGATATTGTCTGCAAAATACATGTCACAGTGCTGGCAGTGATGCAGAAGCTGAGGATCCTGGACCGGCAGGGTTGGGACTGGAGTGCTGGGCTGGCTGTTTCCTATGCTAGGAGTGCTGGTGTGGGCACTTGGTTCACTGCTTGGCCCTGCCACTGGACTATAGTTCCTCTGACTCTGCGATGGCCGAGGGTCAGGGCTCGTGGGAGAGGAGCTCTGAGGAATACCTGCTGACACAGCAGAAACGACTGCAGAGGGCTGCTGAATCATGAAAGGCTTTTCATCGGGGCAGGGAACTACATCAGGGGATGCGGGGTTTTGGTTTTCAGGTGGCAAACTGGACAACTGTCCTGCTAGAGTCGACAGCTGATTTAAAGGGTTATCAACCATGAGTTCTTGGGGGTCCCTTGGTAGGCCACCGGTGGGTGTAGTTTTCGCCATACTTTCATACGAGTCAGTCTGAATGTTTGGGATTTCATGGGTGAAATCATTAAGGTAGTCTGGTTTCTGAACCACCATGGACGGTGGGCTTAAGTTGATTAGTGCTCTTCTGCTATACCCTAGATTGCTTGTTTTCTTCTGTAAAACCCCCCACATTTTCTTGCTGCTCAAGGAAGACCTAGTACCTTTAATTGGTACCATTTTATGCTTGCGCCTTCGATGATGGGACAGGTTACTCCGGTCACTGCAGCGGAAGGAACATAATTCACATTTGTATGGTTTTTCTCCGGTATGGGAACGCATATGGGCTTCCAGATGACGCTCATAAGCAGATGCAAATGGACATAAGTGACACCTATGAGGTTTCTCACCTGTTTAAAAAGAAAAATTGGGGAGAAACTGCAAGAGGAGTTCATTTATGAAGTTTCATGTCTGTCCATTCACCAGATTTAGAAATTGATCAAAAAGTTTTTCAGAAATCCCAGAAGAAATGTAATATATTTATAAAAAGAATGCTACAATTCTCATCTGCACAAAAGACTTATCAGAATTTATAAAGAAACCTGCAAACTTAAATAAAGCTTACTCTCATCAGCAACAATTTAAGATTTACAGACATACACTATCAGTCAGTATACTGTAAAAAAATTTGGCTTCAACTGGTATTTGGAGAACCAAGAAAAGCACAACTGATGATAATATTCTAATAATAAATACTCCCTACATAATAATCTTTTAATGATCTTATCAAAAGTATGCCTCAGAGTTATATATTCATGTATACATCTATATAAACACACGTATTCATAAACACACACCCTTTCCTCAGGGGAACATACATACACACACACACACAAACACACACTCTCTTTTTTTAAGTCCCAATATGAAACAAAAAGCTCAAGATCAAAATGGGTTTCCTAGTTCATGTATGAGTTATACAATGTATCTTTTCAAAATTGCCACAGCTTCACCTCCACTTTCTTCAGTCGCCAGACAGGACAATTCCAGTTAATGCTTTAGTTGGAGACTGCCCTAATCTGTACACATTCAGAAGGTGGGATTTGGCGTTACTCGTTTAGTAAGTACTGAGTACCTACTCTGTGCCAATGCTCACAAGGCTCGGGAGGTACAAAGATGACCCTGACCCAATCCCCGCCCGCAAAAAGGCTCAGGCCACCACAACACAGCACGGGAAGAGCTAGGAGGAGTGAGCTCTGGGTGCCAGGGAGACACGGGAGGGACACCTGACCCGGTCTTGGGTGCAGTTAGGGTTTCTCAGAAGGGATGATTAAGGTCAGGCCTAAGGATTAGAGAACAGTTTGTAACTACAGAGAAACTCTTCCCCCTTTCTGTAACTGAAGCACACTTAGTAACGATAAAAAAAAAAAAAAAAAAAACATTTTATTGCCTCACACTGCCTCCAGTGTTAACCTGCCCAACCTGAGAAGCAGACAGCTGTTGAGACATCATGTGGCTAGAGGAGGAAGCTGGCTCAGAAATGGGAAGCTCTATAGGGGGCATCACCTCCCACCTGTGTGTATGCTGTTATGTTATCTACAGTTTTGTAAAAACGGAGTGACTTCCCCATTTATTCAAATCTCTTTCAACTTTCAATTTTAAATTATCAGAGCTATTTATATCAAAGATCAACCTGCCCTGCTGACCCCTTTCCTACTCCAAAGAAATGCCTTCTCCAGCTGTTTCCTCATTACCTGTGTGGATTCTAATATGCTCGATAAGCCGGGCCGTTCCTTTGCTGGCATAGTTGCAGTACCGACACTTAAGCTTCCCATCAAAGGTCCTTTCAAACCCGTCTACTAACATTCCTGAGTTTTCATCCAGGGAAACTTCAACAGATGGGTGATCAAGTCCATTTTGATCACCATCTGTTCCGGCTATAAACAAAGTACAGCAAAAGAAATTATGCATCTCAGAATCAATTTAGCATTTCAGTCTTGAGTGGTAGAAAATTTTTCATAAATTGACAATTCACTTACCGCAAAATTTAACTTCAAAATATAATGCAGACTTTCTGAACTGGGGCTAATTTTATGCAAACCCAAACTAAACCAAACCCATTGCTGTCGATTCCGACTCATAGCAAACCTGCAGGACAGAGAAGAACTCCCCCATGGGATTTCCAAGGAGCAGCTGGTGGATTCGAACTGCTGACCTTTTGGTTAGCAGCCGTAGCTCTTAACCATTGTGCCACCAAGACCCCAATTTTACACAAAAGCAGTATTATATTGTTTTCTAGAACCTTTTAATAGAGGGATCTCAAGTTACATATAATTTTATCAGCCCTCAACATGATCTTGAAGAAGAGAGCAGGGTATTATCCTTATTTGACAGGTGAGGAGACAGAAGGGAGTAGAGAGACTTACTCAAAGAGTGATGGCATAGTTACACACAGGTGTTTAAGACTCTAGCCACACCTACAAATGTTATACTGGGCAGTCATAATTATCTCCAAAAAATTAACTTTATTTACTTTAGTCTAAAGTAATTAATGTTGAGTTTTGCACTGTTCCACTCAGTTCATGCATATGCTCTAGTTTCTGGGTTGTACTGAGGATCTTAACAGTTTTACTAACAACATAAAGGAAAATCTTGTATTTGCTATCTTTGAATGTTAGAGCTGTGAGAATTTCCGAGCTATGTTTATTTTTAATCCAATCCAACTAACTCTTTGTACAGGTAAAGAAACTGTAGGGGCAGATGCTTATCATCAGGGAAACCAGAAAACAGTGGGGCCTAGAACCCTCATCTTTTGACTCCCAGTCCAGGAATCTGTACACTAGAGGTTTGGGGACATGTTTATTCCTACAGCTTCCTAGAAAAAGGACTTCCACTCCATCCTCAGGACAAAGTGGTGCTGACGTGAACAATCCAAGCCCCTTGCTCCACTGTCTCCTTCACTCCTCCCTCCTCAGAAGAGAAGTGAGCTTGGCACAAGGCCGGCAGCCAGCAGGGCCGCTGCATCATAGAGACAACAAGACTCAGTGTCTCCCTCTCTCCCACTTGCTTTCCCAAGCCAGTGAGTCTCAAATTTTAATGTGTGACATCTATCACTTGGGGATCTTGTCAAAATGTAGATTCTGATTCAGTAGCTTTGGGGTGAGGCCTGAGAGTCTGTATTTTTAACAAGCTCCCAAGTGATATGTGGTCCCTGGATTACACTTAATGTAGCAAGGTCCTGGACCAGGTAGGTCACGTCAGCAAACTTTTTCTGTAAGGGCCAAATAAGTAAATACTTCGGGCTTTGTCAGCTATATGATCTGTATCATAACTACTCAACTCTGCCTTTGTAGCACAAAACAGCTACAGACAATATGTAAATTAATGAGTGTTACTGTGTTCTGATAAAACTTCATTTATGAACGCTGAAGTCTGAATTTTGATATAATTTTCATGTGCCATGACATATTATTCTTTTCTGTTTTAAAATGTAAAAACCATTCTCAGCTTGCAGGTAAGATAAGCAGCGGTCCAAATGTGGCCCATGGGCTGTAGTTTGCTGACTCCTGATCTAGGTTCAGGAACAGAATCCAGTCTTTGTGTGGTAACAGACTAGACAAAGTCTACCTCTAGCAGATGTAAGCAGGCCGCTATTTTCTCTGTTCCATTTTCTCCTCCTGGACGGGTAAACGTGCTCAGCCCTTCCTGGGGACCAGTATCTTCATCGTAGGAGGGAAGATACAGAAACCCCTTTTTGGTTTCAGGTCTAATCCAGATTTCCTGGATGGCCCAAGTCTTTGTGACGTGAAGCTGATGTTTTGATCCCCTCTGGATCCCTTGTGTCTACTGTTAGCCAACAGAACCTGGAGAGCAGGAAGGGTACTTAGAAGCCCCAACCTTCCAGCAAGACCATAATGCACCTCTAGGCCCTGGCAAGCCCCTGGGTGCCTTCACTCTCCCTCAGCAAAAATCTGACATGTTTAGAGAACAGGGGAAATGTCCTAAACCTCTCTTGAAAAGACTGAATGATCCACTTTAGTGAACAGTGGTGTTAACAGTATGAATAGCAAACATTAATACATCTTCAAAAAGTGAATTATTTAATAGTATAAGATGATTCTACCTCCCTGAAGAGCCTCTGTTTCTTTGTCCCCACTAACTGATCCAGAAATCATGTTCACATGATGGGTCTGCTGAGTCAGGTACTCCTGGAAATCCTTCACGAAGTCCAAAGGCTCTGGTTTCTTTTCACCCATCTTTGATTCCTTTTGAAGTTTACAGTTCGTTATACCTAGAAAAAACCTGAAATAATTTTACACTATTTAGGAAGATCCAACACATATTAAAACAGTAACAAAAACATTACATGAAAGGCATTATACAAAGCAACAGAGAGCATGATCCCTGCTTTTAAATATCTGAAAATCTTCCCTGTGAACTAAAGACATACACAATATTGTGAAGAATTAAGTGATATATTTAATAATTAAATAAATTGGGATTCAAACTTAGTCCTAGAGAATGGAAAGAAATTACAAACTCAGAAAAAAGTCCAGATAAAAGTGATTATACCAATTTACACTTCCACCAGCAGTGAAATACAGTTCTATTGCTCTATATCCCCACCAACACTTGGGTTTGTCTTTTTCATTTTATCCATTTTAATACCACCACACACTGGCTTTAATTTGTACTCCTTAAAGATAAATGAAGTTGTGTACCTTTAAACAGCCATTTGGATACCCTCTTTTGTGAAGTGTCTGTTCAACCCATTTTTCTACTGGGTTGTCTTTTTGTTATTAATATGTAAGAGTTCTTTGTAATATTCTGGGTATGAGTCCTTTATTAGATACATGTATAATAACTATCTTCTCCCACTCTATGGCTGCCTTTTTGCTTTCTGAAAGGTAACTTTTGATGAAGAGAAGTTCTTAATTTTTAATACAGTCCAGTTTATCCATTTTTTCCTTTACATTTAGGTTGTTTGTGTCCTATTGCATCAATAATAGCCTATATAAGGCTAATTTCCAAAATGTGAAGATAATTCACGTCCCCGCTTTCCTACTTCTCCATCTCTGACACGAGCCACTCACTTGGCCTCCTCTCTCTCTCTGACCCTAACCACCCAGTTAGATCAGACCTCATCCCTGGCTATCCTGAGCTGGGTCAAAATATCCCTGGCCACCTGAGGCCAGGTCATCGGGGAGCAGCAGTAGGCTCAGGAGTCTACACAACTCCCTGCCTCCAGCCCAGTCTCTCTCACATCCCCTGGGTTTAGGTCACAAGCTAGGAGTCTATCCTTCAGCCTTTCTCTATCACTTAGCCACCCAAAGGTGCACTGCTAGCTTCTGCTGGCTCATTGCCCCTGTGGGTTCGGTATTTCGCTAGAACGACTCCCGAAATTCACGGAGATTATCACCTATACTTACAGTCACCCATTTAGTATAACCAGAAAGGATACAATAAAGAGAGGCATCAGACAAGGTCTGGGAGAGGTCCTGGCACGAGGCTTCCATCATCCCCAGGGACGCGCCACACCTTCTCCCCGCACGGATGTTCTCAGCAATCCCGGAAGCCCCAAGGAGAGAGGTCAGAGGTCCAGAGTCCCCTAGTCATTGGGACTTCAATGAATATGCATGACTGGAGTCTTAATGCATAA